GAAAAAGGACAGTTCATAAGAAATTTTACATTTCTTCTATTTGTGGCATTCTCGGGCTATTGTCATCATTTATACTGACTTATTTCAAGCATGATAATCTCGGTAAGGCGTATTTCTTCATTTATAAATTTTCAAGTGAAAATAGTTACCGTGAGAGGAAAACACATCAGCTTATCTATCGGTAGATGAGTCCAAGAATGTTCATATCTTTTTGAAATCTACTCCAATGTTCCTTTCAGTAGCTTCGAGTTCTATTACCATTTTATTAGAAGCTGATCCGTGTCATGTTAATAATATGTAATCTCATAAACCTTCAACATATATACATTTTGCAAATCTGAGTTGTGGAAAATAAAAAGTTGTCGTTCAGGTGCTCTGTGAATGGTGCACGTATTTCTTGATTTGCTTGAAAAGACAGCCCACGTCGCTGCTACATAACACATTCAAGGGGACGTTGAGTTATAAAGGTCAGCTAGAAGTTTGATGAGATGGGGAGGCACAATCTAAGCCTCTCCAAACAATTTCTTGCTTTGCAATGTTCTAGATGTCAATAAAGAAAGTCGAAAATGTACCTACGAGGTGGGTTGAGCACTAAAAGGATCATTTGTTTTGATTTGTGGGCATTCGGACCCAGATTTCCTTTTGGTTCTATAGCAAGTGGAATTTCCTTTATGCATGCTGAGCAGTGGCAAAAAAGGCGGAGGAGAAAGAGTAGCCGACGGAAGTCGAGTGGTTAGTGATGCATATCACTAAGAAATATACCGCTCTGACCCACTCCTTCAACAATCTTTGACATTCACCTAGAAGCTTGACTATCCTCAAGATTGTGAAGAGATTTGCCCGATCATATTCTACGACGGGTGATTTTCATCTGTGGGAATATCGAAGTCCGAGATGGAGATTGTGGAACGGAAAATTTTGACAAAGGACCTTTCCGTTATCATTCCCATGTCATGGCGTGATGTAATAATAATCCTATCTTCGTTCATCAAGGCAAAAAACGAAACAAAATACTTTTGTATTCGATTATTTTTTGAGACCTTGCCAAAAAACAAGATAATCTGACAATGCATTTTAGAGCCCTTCATGAGATCTTTCAACGGCACTTGTACACTGCAAGCCTCGTGTTTCGGCATTACAGCTTGGTCAGCTACACGGTGTCTTTCGTCTGAGCCAAGCTCTTCTAGGAGAAAATCCCTTACATAAAGGATACTCGACGAATATGTTACACTGCAGTGAAAATCTCACTTTACGCACTGCAGAGATAGCATACCACTACATGTTTAGTGACGAGGTCACCGAACATTCTAGTGATTAAAAGTCGACTGCTTGAGGTTGGTACTTCTTGATAACACCTTTAAATAAACTGATAGCTGTAAAAGATGCCGACAGTATGTCTTCAAACCAGATAGCTTTTGAGCTGCTTTCAATAAATTTCTTCTTGCATATACCGATGTAAACCGCCTGAAGAGATGTTCTACAGCTGATCTTTGTTAGCAGACTTAATTAAGGGCGTTGAAATAGGATCAATCTTCAATTTCCTTCTTATTCCGGACAGCAGGATACATTTCAGCATAACCTCTCAAAGTCATTGCTTCAAACTAGTTTTTCTTTCAGTTCTCTCTGCAGGGAATATTTCTATAAAACCTCAGAGATGGTACGCATTACAGACCTCATTAAATTTTTTGCACCAACAAAAAGTTTCACTTTCCTCGGACTTTTAGCAACATCCTAGTAGCGGTAGAGCTGCGATTTTTTGATTTAAAAAATAGGTTTTTTCTACTTAACTCGTGAGCTTCATGTCTTCTTCGAATTTTCACTTTCTGGTAAATTGGCTTGTGAACATTTTTTTTCTCAGAGGAAAAATATTGTTGTTAGACGAGAAATGCATCGAGTGGACTAGTTATAAAATGATGAGATGATGGATATGTCAAACAAGAGCGATACTCACTTGGGAGGATTTGGGCGATCTCCACGCACGTTGTAGCGCTACCGCTTCCTCACTTCGATGTCTAATCAGGAGATCTATTCTCTCGGAAAAAAATGTTTTTTCCAAGGATGGTCTATCCATAATGGTTTCGCGAGACAACTTCCATTCCTAGTTCAGGCTCCATTTTCATATGTCCCGATTGAATAATTGCTTTTGCAGCTTTTTCTATTCTGGCACTAAACTTCAAGTTCACATTAACTTGCCGTTGTGGTCGTTTTATTCAAAAGATAATACAACGTATCTATTTTGTGTTAAGCAACTGCCGGAATTAGTAAAAGGCAAAAGGAGATGCTGATTTCCTTGTGACTATGTAGATTGCAGACGGAGTGTGGCCAGGCGAGGAGAAGGATTTCACGCGAATTGACCAAGTCGATATTAGAAATGTACAACATGTTCTGGGCCAGTGATATGCTGTGATAAAATTTTTTCTCGATGAACGATAAGAGCGCCATTATTTAGGCAGCGATAGTCGGTCTCCTGGCAACTAGTTTGCTGTAGAGCGATACTGATCACTTAGGAAGATTGCGACCATTCAAGGTTTGTTAGATGATTCTAGTATCCTGTGTGCAGAGCAGGTGACAGTCTCTACTGGGATCTAAAAGTTTCTAAAGTATTTTGTTTAAATTTGCTTCAGTGACGTTCTGCACGTCATGAGAATTGCTCTCTCACCAGCTTTTTCTGCCTGCACTAGAGCTAGAGCAGTTGAATATGCTCGGAAGGTTGATTTAAGTGAATCTTTGTATGAATAGCAATTTCTTCGCTTAGTCGTTGAGTAATTGATATGTATGCGATATCTAGTCGGATTTAAATTACGGGTGAGTAAGTAGAATTACCGATTATTTGAGGACGATGTAACGAGTCGAACTTGAACCTGTCTTAAAGTCATTGTTTTTACCAATAGCAGTTGAATCAACGAAAACAACTAAGCGCCGTAAGCAGCCTCACACTGATTTTCAACTGATTTCCTTCCAATCCAATGATATTGCTCGGATGTTGCAATGCATTTCCAAGATGGGGACGGAAGCCTGGAATTGCTTTGATTTTGTTACAAAGATCAAAATCAGGTAGTGAAAAGCAATTGTCGACGGGTAAATGATGACTGGTATGTGTTGTGTGTGTGTGTGTATGTGTGTGTGTGTGTGTGTGTGTGTGTGTGTGTGTGTGTGTGTGTGTGTGTGTGTGTGTGTGTGTGTTGTGTGTGTGTGTGTGTGTGTGTGTGTGTGTGTGGGTGGGTGTGTGTGTGTGTGTTTATGTGTGTCTGTGATGCGTCGATGTTTGTGTGTGTATCGCAAAAAACGTATCTCACAAATTTTGATTAACTCACATCTATTGAACCATCGTTTAACGGCCATATTAACTTTACTGTTGTATTGATATAGGACAAATGATGTAGTGGTAGAGAGCAGAGCAATAGTGATGTCAAAAATGAAGCCAAAAGTTTTTACAAGAATTAATACAGTATTTATATAACTGAAATACATGAGATGATCTTCACTTCGCTGTGCTGCACAAATATCTTTTTTGAAGATCAACTGAACAAATATCAGGGTCTTTCGGAAGTGCGAAGATACAAGATCGTATATCTTGTGTTAACATACACGCTCTGGATTTTCATAGCGACTCTTTCCTCTCGTAATCAATATCGATTAAAGTTCAAAGAATCCGGATTTTTTATTACTAAACTATACTTACTGAAAATACTTGATAATAATGAGAGACGTCCAACCAATGAGAATTTGTGCTGAGAAAATTGTCATGAATGGAAATAACCACTTCGCTGTCTCTGTGTTCTCTCTGATCTGCAAACAACAAGCAGCGACATAAGTAAAGTATGGATTTAACGATAACATAATCATTAAACTAGTTGAACTCTAAAGGAATGGCTACCATGAAGTACTGTCGTTTGTCACCTAAGGTTAAGTTGATCGTTGAGCGATTCGAGCTGACACCAGTAAAACTTCCACTTTATCCATCACGTGAAAGATCGCGCAGTAGGTTTTTAGTTCTAAGATTTTGATAATCACCATAACATTTTTCAAGCCTTTCATGAAGATATTGGACCACTGGTCGGTGGTCTTCCTCTTTTGCGTTTGATATCTCGAGAAATCCGGACGATATCGGCTGTCGTCCATTGCTTATCGTTAAAGCACTTTACATGCCCAGCACACCTTATCCTCGATAGCCTCACTAAAGACATGAATCGCATCCTCTGCGACTAACTCGTATTGAGTAAGTGTCAAATTAGTTGCACGGGTGCGAGCAACATTTCAATATGAGTTGAAACAACGAGCTTTGTTCTCACGCACCACGCACATTACTCATCACCAAGAAATTACTTTTGATACCTGGGAAGTTTTCATCATGAAGAAAACATTTTAAGAAAACACAGAAGGCGATAACAACTGCCTTTTAGCGCCAACAAATGACGAGAGCAGTTACAGACGGGATTTGTCGGGATCACAAGCGCACCACAGGAAAGACTACCGACTTCATGGTGCAATTTTTCACACAAATTCATGAAGCAAGATGCGATGCTCAACGAATTCCCAGAGCGAGGAGGACCCACTGGGCTCTTTTTGAAAGCGATAGGAAAAATAAAATATTACTGGTGTCCGCACGAGTGTCTCGGCAATCAGCAGGACGACGAGTGATGCAGGTGAGCACTGAAGACCAAGCGGTGGTATGATATTTTGAATACACCCATTGATGCAGAGTGATGTGCAAAACTTTTGCGTCAGGCAGGACTACAACTCGCACTTCACTCTTTCCGGGAGCGCGTGCTCTATCCGTTACACTACTGACGCCCATCGTACGTCAATGAGTGTTTTTGAAGCATCATACCACCGCCAGAAGCGGTTAAACTAAAAGGATTCCATTTGATCTTCAATATCTAATATTTGTTAGCGTGACTAACTTCAATGTCGAGACCGACTACCCGGGCCAGGCCGTTGACGGCTGGCGGCTAACAGATAGATGCGCTATAGCGTAGAAAGATTGGCATGCAAAATGGGCGTCAGTGGTGTAACGGATAGAGCATGCGCTCCCGGAAAGTGTGGTACGGGTTCTAGTCCCGCCTGACGCAAAAGTTCTGCACGTCACTCCATACTCTTAGAATGTTTAAGTGCCTGATAATAATTTCTCAACCATGCATGTGGTGTGTTATGGGCACTAATACGGTGCAATACACGTGTTCCGGGCTTGCACCCTTGTCTGTCGCACAGTGCCTTTCGTTTTAGCCAACTTCTCTTACGCAAAGGAGACGTAGGCGTACTGTTCAGCCGTACCATCGAGTGAAATAAATCACTAAATGAGCAGTGCACCTATTTGCTCTTGACTGGTATTTGTGAAATATCATAGCGACCATTTCGAATGTTTTCTTGGAGCGGCCTTCAATTTCATATTTTTCAGAGTTATTTTTATGAATTTTCTTTAGACTTTCAACTTATATGGGGAATCGAGTGCACAACACTGCCCAATTAGTGATCTCTTTCACTTGATGGCACGTGCGAATAGCGTGGCAACGTCTAGTCTATGTAAGGGGGTTGAGTTCTCCCAAACTGACGAGGCTGCAAGGCCGAAACACGTGTGTTGCATTGTGTAAGTGCCCATAACAGATCACATGCGTGGATCGAAAATAATTATCGGGTATATTGAAATTTGAAGAGAAGCGATTAGAGAAGACCTTAAAGAGAGACGAGCAGCAGTTATGGCAGAAGCTGCAGAAGCAGGGAAGAGCATTCGCAAAGCCCAGCGAGGCTTCGTCAACTATAAGACCAAGATGACTGCACTCCGATGCTCTGACGGGACACTTACAGCTTCGAGAAGAGCTATGGAGAAAATCATCTACCAATACTGCTCGGATCTCTTTGCTAGCGGTGTCTTCTTACCGTCATATAAATTGAAAGAGGATGAATATGCCGTTTCAGCGGTCCTCCCTTCCAAAGTCCGACATGCTATGTCGTCGGTGAACAACAGAACAACACCCGGTCCAGACAGGATCAGACCAGAACACCTGAAGAACCTGCCGCCAGTTCTCGTTAACACCCTGGCTCAGCTCTTCACTCGCTACCTGTCAGAATGCAAGGTCCCCATTCAATGGAAATCCAGCAAGACTGTAATGTTGTTTGAAAAAGGGAGACCTTCACGACATAGGCAATATCGTCCAATCTGTTTGCTGTACGTTGTCTATAAACTATTTACTCGAGTCACCATAAACAGGATTGACAGAACAGTGGACGAACGACAGCCATGCGAACAAGCAGGGTTCCGAAATGTATTAAGTACCATAGACCATACCCACACGATTACAAGACTCGTTGAAGTTTCACGAGAGTACAAACAACCACTCTGTCTCACTTTCATCGATCTAAAAAAAGCTTCTGATTCAGTGGAAACAGAAGTGGTTTTAGAGGCTCCGGATAACCAGGGCATCCCTACCCGGTACAAAATGATCCTTCGTGATTTTTAGAAAAATTTCACGACCATAATATATCTTTTCCACAATAATCACCATTGAGGTAAGGGGGTTCGATGAGGTGATACAATTTCGCCAAAACTATTCACTGCCACCCTACAAAACGTCATGTGAACATTAGAATGGGACGATATGGGAGTGAAAATTGACAGTCGATAATTAAACCATCTTCGCTTTGCTGACGATATCGTTCTCATAACACCAAACATCAGTCAGGCCGAACGAATGTTGACCGATTTTGATAACGCCTGTGGAAAGACAGGTCTTCAACTAAATCTAACGAAAACGATGTTCATGAGGGACGGATGGGTCTTGATGCCCCATTCACGCTCAACGGAACGGCAATCTCCGAATGCTCCAATTACGTCTATCTAGGTCGTGAAATCAACATGATGAATGACCTAGCTCCAAAGTTGAGCAGGAGGAAACGAGCGGCTTGAGGAACGTTCAAGAGCATCGAAGATGTAGTGAGGAGGACAAAGAACATCCGACTCCGTGCCCACCTTTTCGACTCGACAATTATCCCTGCCCTAACGTATGCAGCAGAAACGCTGGTCGCTACGTAATCAGGATGAAAAATCACTTGGCGTTATCGAGCGCGCAGTCGAAAGGTCGATGCTAGAGTATTCTCCCGCAAATGAAAGAAAGGATCTGAAATTCCGACCTACCTCAACGATCGAAAATCAGAGACGCCTTTCTACACACCAGAATATCGAAAATAAGGTGGGCCGGACACGTGATGCGTTTCAGCGACATCCGATGGACGAGAGCCGATACCGACTAGATTCCTCAAGACATTAAGCGCTCTACAGGAAGACCATCGATGTGTGGTCCGATTTCTTCACGAAAGCTTTAGAAGAAAGATATGATGCTGAGCGAATCCCTAGAGCAAGGAGTACCCACTGGGCTACTCTTGCACGCGATAGAAAAAGATGGAAGTGTTGCTGGCACCCGCTCAAGTCACTCGACAATCAACGGGGCGACAGGTGATACAGGTGATTGAAATTTGAGCGTGACCATAAGAAAGCATTAGAAACGAACGGTATGATATTTAAGTGATAATGCTAAATTTGGAGGTCTAAAGATCTGTGTACAGCAGATTCAATGGTTAACGTGTGGGCACATGAAGAGAGACTTTTGAATAGTAGGCAAGGCCAGCTTTTTAACAAAACAGTAGGAGAAGTGGAAGTAAACGGAAAATACTGCGAATGACACGCTTTTGTACGCACATCTCGAGTGGATAGTCAATATGGATTCAAGATGGAAAAAAGTTGCTTCCCCGTCTTGAAATGTTTTGGAAATCAAAGTAATACGCTTATTATCTGTCGCTTACACAAATTGTGGAAAACTCAATTGCTCAACAAGGTTTTTTTCGGCGATTATGGCAAATTTTCAACATCGATTTACTTTGATTAAGCTGTTGCTAGTCTAGGTTCCGTCCTCTTGGGGTGAAACTTGAAGTGTTGTTCCGCTACCATACGGCCATCCATTGCGAAGGCAACGGATCAAGTGTGTGGGGTCGTTTGCAGCTTGCGAAGAATTTATCTTGCATAGAATGTTATTCTTATGACGAGAAAGATGTTGATCCTCAGAAGCAAATGGTCACGCGAATTTCATAACTGACAATATAAGTGAGGAAAGTACGGCAGTGCTTTAGATGGTTCACAGAAAAGAAAATCCGGGTTTGTACTAACATTATGCTGCCCTATTTAGGAAATACACCTTGTTATAGAGCAGTCAAGTATCTTTGAAAACTGTTTCAGCTAACCATCTCTCCCAATAAGCCATGTTCGATCAAGTTACATGCATTCCACTGATATTACAGTGCTCTAACATGTTGTATGGAAAGTGGCTATCGAAGTCACTGTTTACTGTATATACATTCTGTAACAGTACGCTCTTGGAGCTCCTTATAGAGTGAAATAATCCCATTTGTATGTAATTCAATACCTGATAGATGTGCGAAATTTGTAATAGACCTCGATTTTTTCTCCATAGTGATAAATTACTTCGGCGAATGTATACAATAATCTAGAAACCTTGGTTAATATTCAACTTATATCAAAAAACAAATAAAAACAAACAAGTAAATAAATCTCTAGATCCCTTTGCGGATGATGTGGGTCATATGACCGTCAGCTGGGCGCGCCGTTCCGACGGTTACGAATATTGCGTGCGTGCTCCAATAGAAAAAAGATAATTAAAATCAAGACAGAACAATACCATTGAAGAACGACAAGATATCACTGATAAGACTTCTATATGAATAAATTATGAGCAAGATAAACGGCAGTGCATCGCAAAATGTCACCCTGTTCAAGGAAAAAAATTACACTCTTGCAAAAAAGGAATGTATATTCAGCTGTTATTGGACATTTTATCTGATCATCTTGAACTTTTGTAATCACTCGATAGCTTAAACAATTTCGATTTTGGTACCAAGCATGCTATATGATAAGATATCCACAGTACGCTATACTAATAAAAAGAGATCACATTTTACAACCATAGTCCATTTTCCCTAATTCATAGCGGATTTTTGGGACTATTTAGCTGGATTTCAATTCCTTCAAGATTTCCAAAAAATTGTACTATTTTTGGAAGAACTTTTGCAGGCGTACGCAGATGGTCCATAACGTTAGAGAGCTAATGGCATCGCGGACGTCCGAGGACCTTGGACAGAATATGGTCCAGCGGTGGTCTTTCGTCACAGCAAAGCGGCTGAGGGCGGCACCCAGCTGCCGCCAACCTCAACACTTAGTGCGATCCCCGGACATAACTCGAACAGTCGTTCGACCTCACCCAAACCACCCACCTCATTCCTTATCGATCCATTATTGCTCTCTTCACACATTCTCGTTGTGTGTATCTAATCGCTATGAGAACGTTGTGTTCATATAACTGGCAAATGGACTGAAGAGAATTGTGAGCGGGACATATCACTTACGTGGAGGAGCGAACTTAGGCTATGCTCGGCCTAACACCGTGGTTAAGCGATTCTGCCCATATTTAGTCAGTAGTGATCTCACTGCTATCATTTCACAGTATACTCACCCACTGGATCCCACTGTCACTGCTTGTTATTTCTGGGGCGAACATAGCGACCTAAACGGGCTCCGCCGCCTAGTCATGCTCCGTCAATTACAGCATTCATATTATCGTCAGACGACGATACATCTCATCAATCAATCATTCACATTCGCTCAATCATATTTTCACATAAAGATGTGCCGCAATCACGTATATATTGTTCTTACGTTATTATTACAGTGATATACGTATAATATAGGTTGTTTAGTACAAACTGTGTGAAGGATTTAAACTTTGTGCTCTTGTCCGTTGCAAGGCACAAGTTGGCAGCAGATCAATTGATCACACAACTTAAAGTTCAGCTCGCGGAGCCCGGAAGTGCAACTCGCAACTTCAAAATGGAAGTGCCGACATAAGCTGGAAGTCTAACGCGTGATAGCACAAGGGTCCATACGCCGTTAAGGACCAATCCAATCATCTTTGACATCGATCAGATCATTGCCCGAGACAATCCAGGGACCACACAATAAAAACCACTGAACCTCCATCACAGTATTTCTAAAAATAATAACGCGCAA